GAAAAGCAGAAGTTGAATGAACATATTCAACTCAACACACCCTTGCTACTTGAAAGTTTTATTACAATAGCTAATTTTCTTTCACAGCCAATAGGAAAAGCATGTCCAAAGAATGTTGTCAGCTTATTGACTAAATAGGCCTTTGCTTCTTTCTGTTTTAATTCAAGTTGTCTGCACATCCCACAGGAATGTACGGGGGCTGTGGATGAAGCTTTAAATCTGCTTCTGTAAGTCTGTCCTACTCCCCTTCTGTCCTCCTGTTCACTTTCTAACAGGCGCACCTGGATTAGCAGAGCCACTGTCTTGGGAAGGGAGGAAAAACAGAGGGATCAACTGATGCTCCTTTTGCTCTCGATCCTGGGAGACACCTAGCCAGGGGGATCTTCAGAAATCAGTTCCCATCTTGAAGAAACTTAGTAGTTTTCAGCAGTTTTTTTTTAACAGTTAGGAATTGACCTTTGGATGAAATAAATACTCTTAAAATAGTCACGTTTTTGCTTTTGAAAATACCTTTCTTGCCAATACCTGCCCATTTTTTCCTTGATAGTAATTGGAACCCCATTTGTGGATGAGTAAACTCTGTTTTACACCTCAGTTGGACCATTGGATGAATGGTTACAGGATGGTCTTACAATAGAAAGGTATGAAAGACTGGCAGGGGGTTTCTTTACTCCAACCTGGGCTTGAATCCAGCGTGAATCCCTTGGCAAGAAGAGAGGTGGCTTCTGTTCCATGCCCACTATTGCATTAAACAACAACAGTAACAACAAAACCTCATGTTATATAGCATAAACATGATTTAAGTGCTTTATATTATGTGAGGAAAAGGAAAAAATATTCTTAATGTTCTATTCTCTTGGAATGGGAGTTTGTTGTTGGGATGATGATGATGATGATGATGATGATGATGATGATGATGATGGTGGTGGTGGTGGTGGTGGTGATTATATATTTTTTTGCCAGTCCTGGGGCTTGAACTCAGGGCCTGGACACTATCCCTGAATCTCTTTGTGCTCAAGGCTAGTGTCTGCCAATTGAGCCACAGCACCACTTTTGGATTTTTCTGAGTAGCTTATTGGACATAAGAGATCCATGAATTTTTCTGCCTCGACTGCTTTGAACTGTGACCCTCAGATCTCAGCCTCCTGAGAAGATTTGTGAGCCATTGGTGTCCAGCATTGAGATGATTTTATCCATTGGCCATTACAGGGTAAATGTTAATGAACAGAACTTTTTCAAAGACTTAAAGTTTGAGCAAGGTTTTCAAGAGCCTACAAAAAATGTTTGCAAACTTGAATTGGTTTTTTTGAATCTCAAATAAGTATCAAAACTAAAAAAACAATAAAAATATCTTAAATCTGGTCTGATGCTAAGCTAATGTGTGTGAAATAGTTTTTGGGCAACCAAATTATGTAGAGTTGTCTGGGACGATATCTTGAAAAACTGAAATTAATTAATATTGAAATTAAGTATCTCTACAACAGAACATTATATTAACTCATTTATTGCAAGCAAATCAATAAAGTTGTAAGTAATTTCATGGCTTGATTTAATATGTATGTCTAAGGTAAGAATCCTAGGCCTTTGAAAGGTCTTCAAATTGTGTGTGTGTGTGTGTGTGTGTGTGTGTGTGTTCAGGGGCCAGAAGAGTGGAATAGGGGATCACAAAGAGGTTTGGGGTGGGAGGAAAACTTCTTGAAAATATTAGCCAAAATAAAAAGCCACATTATTCAGTATGATAATTTCTGAGAAGCTCATATTCAATTTCCAGAAGGGCTTCTCAAGATGAGATTGTTTCCTTTTATGCAAAGACTACAACTAAACTTTGAAGCGATAAACAGAATTAAATAGAAGTTGTGTCATACAAGTCAAATAAACTTCAGAATTGGCAGTCATTAATCCCTGAGCAATGAATGAGAAAATCTATCCTTAATGATTGTGATGAGCATATGTGCAGATGTGTTTTCCTTGGAAGGACACAGAATATGATGAAATCAAAATTCACAAAGCAAATATGTTAAAGCATTGCTTTATCTAATTATTCTTTACTTTATAAGGTAATCTACCCAAATGATCACAAACAAGGCCATACTAAAACTACCAGTACAACTATATTCAGTAGATACAATATATATATATATGTGTATATATATATATATATATATATATATATATATGAATTCTATGCTTCCATCAGAAAGAATGATACCACCCCATTTGTTAAGAAATGGAAAGACTTGGAAAAAATAATAGTAGGCGAACTAAGCCAGACCCAAAGAAATAGAGGTCCCATGGTTTCCCTCATTTGCAATAATTAGTATACATCTAACATAATTTTATCAGATGAGCAGAAAAGCTAAGTGAAATGAACTCTAAGATATGGACACAAGAGGTCTTTCCTTGTTGATGTTTTTAAAGTACTATGTGATTATTTTTGTTTCCTTTGTATTTTTTTCCCCCTATGGTATATCCCCTCTTGTTACTGAACTTGATTTTGGTACCCTGCATCTTGTATATACATTTATCTAATATTGGGAGGGGTAGGGGAATAACAAAATGCTGAAACAAGGACACAGGATGACCCATTGCAACAATGTTAATCACAAGACATGATGTTGGAAATGAACTTTACAACTTGGGGGCAGAGGAGTGAGGGAAGTCTGAGAGGGAAGGGATAGTGGGAGAACAACAAAGGAGGGGGTAACAATGCTTGACAAGAAATGCACTCATTACCTTACTCACGTAACTATAACCCCTCTCTGCAACATCTTTACAATAAAATAAATTTTAAAAAGAGTGCTTCTTGTAAATTTCTTTATTATTATTTTTTTAAACAAATCTTGTTATGTAGCCCAAGCTGGCCTTGAACCATGAATCCTTCTGCTTCCCAGTCTCTTGAGTGCTAGGAGTAAAGGCCTGTGCTACCATGCTCAGATGCAAATTATAGCCTTTATTTTTGCCAGTCCTGGGGCGTGAACTCAGGGCCTAGGCGCTGTCCCTATTTAAGGCTTGTACTCTACCACTTCAGCCTTTTTCTAAGTAGTTTTGTTGGAGTTAAGAGTCTCATGGATTTTTCTACCTGGGCTGGCTTCGAACTGTGATCCTCAGATCTCAGCCTCCTGAGTAGCTAGGATTGCAGGTATAAGCCACCTGTAATGTATGTGAAATTGTTACACATTTTGAAAGAATGCCTATTCTGGAAGCACTTGTTTAGAGGCCACTGCCTATTGGAGCAGGAGAATTTAAACCCATCTTAGCTAAACATCAACCCACTAACTTCCCAAATGAAACCATTACCATCCATTTGCCTGTCTTCCACTCTTCCTTTGCTTTACCTTGCCCATCTCAGTTCAAGGCACCTGTGTTCACTCTGTTGCTTAAGTCAGAAGTCTCAATCCCACATCCCAGATTATCTTTTCTCATTGCAGTTACTATCTAATTCTATTACCTGTGTCTCTTCTCTTAAGTCCTAGAATGAGATATTTTTGCTGTGTATTTTTTTTTCTTTTTGGTTGGTTGTGGGGCCTGAACTCTGGGCCTGGGTGCTGTCCCTCAGCTCTTCAGCTCAAGGCTAGTGCTCTACCACTTGAGCCACAGCGCCACTTCGGGCCTTTTCTGCTTATGTGGTACTGAGGAATTGAACCCAGGGCCTTATGCATGCAAGGCAAGCACTCTACCACTGAGCCACCTTCCCAGTCCCTCTATGTATTTTTTTTTTTTTTTTGCAGTGAGTCAGATCATTCTGTAACTAATCCTGACAATTTTTTTCTGCAGTCTAGGCTGTTCAGATTTGTAACAAAGACAGAGGTATTAGGGAAAGTGAGGGTTGGGCTATAAGAAGATGGGTTAAATGAAACATTGACTCAAGTCCTGGAACTTTGCCTGGTGATTTATATACATTATATATTGGAATTATGACAACCAGTTGTGAGATCAAAGTAATATCTGTTTTCCCAATGAGGAAGAGACTGAGGCTCAGGGGTTAAGACATGGGCTCAAGGTTACACAAGCAGTAAACGGTGAAGTTGGACTGGGGATCCAGGTTAGTTTTCTTCATTCTATCTTCGCTATACTCCCGGGCAAGGAATTCAAGGCTTAGATTAAAGTATTTTGATTTCATTTCTGTTTTAAAATGCTTTCCACTATCCTATTCTTTTAACTAGTTAATATATCTGGCAGTAATTAATAGAGAATATGTTTCTAATTTGTAGTAGTAGTTCCATTAATAAAATAACTATTTCAGCATAGGGCATTTTGAAGTGACTGCCTGTTTTAATTTGTTAAAATAGTTTCTATTTCTTTGCTAAGGAGTCTTGTATCTCCAAAAAGGACCCTAATAACTCCCCCAGAGAATGTAATTCCTTACACTTAGTGGCCTGCGAGTGAATTTTCTATGGAACTTTTAAATACAGACATTAATGGTATGAGGGCACAGATAACGCTGAGAAGCCTGGATATTTTCTTTCTTTCTTTCTTTTTTTTTATAGAAATGTACCATTTTATTAAAAAGAGTCACAAAAATGAAAATAGTATCTCAAAAAGGAAGCTAGACTATCAACCACCTACAGAATTGGGCCTCCCCAATTCTGGGTAGTAGGAGTTTCTTGACTCACCTGAGGCCAATGGCAAGGTATGAAAACAGAACCAGTCTAAAAATGGCTGATAGCATTTAGAAGACCCAGCCACTATTTCTTAATAAGGGCATTGTTCCAGGACTACTAAGCAGGCACTTGGTATTTCAGGATTTTTGTCATGGCTGCATCCTTCACCCAGACCTGCACCTTTTATGCTTCAGAACTAGGACTCGGGGAGGGATGGGGGCAAGGCAGCTACCGGAAGTTCCCCCAGCACTGCTGCCCTGGGCTTAGGGCCCTGGTTCCTATCTAGTCCCTGGGGATATTTATATTTAATATATTTTTATATAAATATTCAGAGAAATAGAAAATATAAAATCTGAGGAGTTAGGGAGAAAGGTAGGGAGCTTGTTAAGAAACCAGAGCTGGAGCGGTCTGCTCAGGCTAACTTGACCTCTTCTTTGACCCCTTTGGCTTCTGGCTTCTCCTCCTTGGTTTTCTCCTCTTCTGTAACTTCTTTCTTCTCTTCTGGGTCTTTCTCTTTTTCATCCTCTGTTTTGACTCTCTTGGCTTTTTTGGAATTGGAAGAGTTCTTGCAGCCACCCTCTCCCTCCTTGGAGAATTCTTCCTCACAGGCAATTCGTTTGTCAGAGGAGCAGATTGAGATGCGCTTGTCTGGGTCTTCATCCTCATCACCACTCTCCTCTGGGATGGCGTCCGCAGGAATTGCTTGCATTTGGACCCCAGGTGCATGGGGTAGCATTCTCAGGTTCTCAAAGATCTTTTCCAGGTTACTCATTAGAGTACTGGTTAGTCATATTAGAAGGATTGATGTGAAGCTTGACGTCTGGTCCAAAGTATTCGAAATAGTCATTGTATGGCAGCTCATTTGGGATCTCTGTGTCCAGGGTCACTGCTGTTTCATATGTCCAGCACCGGGCAACATTTTGAATGGTGTAACCACCTCCTCCTAGCATCAGCATGGGCAGGTTGAAGCTCTTGACAAATTCCACACACTTGGCATGCCCTTTGATGGTCAGATTGAAGCAACCTAACTGATCTCCAGACAGGGAGTCTGAGCCACACTGTAAGACCATTGCACTAGGCTGGAACATCTCCATTACTTTGGACATGACCGGCTTGAAGATGGCCTCATAGGACTCATCATCGATGCCATCTCGGAGTGGGTAGTTAACAGCATAATACTTGCTTTTCCAGCCCCAATATCCTGTAAGTCACCAGTTCTTGGGAAGTACTCTCCATATTTATGAAAGGACACAGTCATGATGCAGTCTGTGGTGTAGAAGGCCTCTTCCATGCCATCACCATGGTGAATATCAATGTCAATATACAGCACCCTCTGGTGATACTTTAGCAATTCCAGAATGGCCAAGATGATATCGTTGACATAACAGAAGCCAGATGCCTCAGACTTCTTTGCATGGTGCAGGCTCCCAGCCCAATTCACAGTGATGTCCGTCTGTTGCTTATTAAGTTTCCTGACACTTGCCACAGAGCCACCAGTAGATAACTGACAGAACTCGAACAGGCCATCAAATGGATATTTTCTCTTAAAGGTCACAGAAACTCTCAGCATTACAACTATTGATAACAACTACAAAGCTGAAAAAGCATTGGTGGTGGAATATATAATCATAGACTATATAAATACATAATTATGGACTACAATACATAATTATAGACTACAAGCAGACTACAATGGGTTAGCTACTGAACTGCTGAAGGATTGATTTGATACATATGTCCGCCAATCTATCTATCTATATATCCATCTAGCTATCATTAGTTTAGGAACCCATATTAAGTGTGTTAAAGAGGCACACTGAAGACTTAAATGTTTAGAGAAGATGGAATTAGGGGTGAAGTCTACCTGTCCTGTGAGTCAGTGACAAGAACTCTGATTTGGGGAGTCTAGAAGTCTGTACCATGCCTGCCATTTAGTCAACATAGAGACTGCTGAGTCCCATAAGAGCACTCATTCACAATCTCTTTTGGGTAAACAGAAGGGGTTAAGACTAACTCTCCTCAGTGCCTCAGCTCTCACATTTTAATACACACCAAGATGCAGATTTGTTACGACAGTTCTCTTCACCTCATGAAGAGAAGGATACTAATTCACTTCTTTCCATATTCATGAAGATTAATGTCATAACAGTGCTCCGTCTTCCCATTCCTTCTCCTTATGAATTGCAGCCCCAGAACTAGTGCTGTGCCGTCTTCATGGAAAAACAAACGGCTTTCATGCATAATGAGGCTCGTATCTTGCTAATCTGTCTTGTATAAACGAAATCCCGAAGGTATCACAACCATGCTGAACTATGCATTTGTTCAGATTTTCTGACATGCAACTCTAGTCATTAGAAAAAAAGGCTTATGCTTTTGATAATTCTGGAATAAGACGTTGATTTGTTATTATTACTTCTCTGGAAATAATCCCATCTATTTGGAAAAAAATCACAGTTGAGCTGAATCACCTTCAATAATACAAATAAGTATCATGAATGAGGGAAGAATTCAGCTGCCCTTAAAACATGCCTTATTTGCTAGTAAATTTATGTTGATGTGCCAATTAAGACACGAGGCCAAAACGCATTCTATAACCTTCAGAAAAGAGCTAAGGCATTGCCAGAGCAAAGAGAGCAAGCTGCATAACCTAAGCACAGCTTCTCTTCCTCCCTCCACCTATTCCCTCCACCTCTCCCTGCATCTCTTCTCTTCCTGTTGTCTCCAATTGATCAGTGCAGCTCTCCACAGGGGTGGAAATGAAAGCTCTCAGGTTCCAGGCAACTCTGTGGAGGCTGCCTTACAGGACACTTCTGAAGAAATTTTGTTTGTGAGCTACAAAATCAGATCCATAACAAAGCAGATCGCTGAGGAGGGGAAAGCAAAAGCCAGAGATTTATAAGCACAAACAAAAGTACTGAAAGATTCTTTATGGAAGTCAAAGACTTGGTAGAATGGAATGAAGCAAGTAGTGGAAGAGTAGGTAGACCGGGGGTGGGGGTGGGGTGGGATTTAAGTACAGTTTGGCCTCATTTGACTTTTAAAATGGGCTGATCTTAAAAAAAAAAGCATTTTTATTAGAATACATTGACAAAGCAAGGAGGTTTTATTGTTTGGTTGATCTTTTGAAAGGTTGGGCAACTAAACATCCACATTGTCTTTAGGAAGATGAGTCACTATGGATTCCAATACAGTATGGTCTGAGGGGAGATGCTGGTTAGGTCTCTCACTCTCAGGCCCTCTGCTCTATTTTAGAGGGATCAGTTCCTATTCAGTGGAAACCCTTTCCCATATTGCATCAAGCTATCCTCTACAGATACAAATAATATCAGTTGATTAAAGACCTCTTTGTGTCACTTTGCCTTAAATTCCTACACTTGCCTGAATGTTTTCCTTGTGAGTATGAGCTCTGTGGAGAAGAAAGCAAAGATCTTCAGAAAAAGATCAAGAAGTCTTCTCTGAATGATTCTCTTTCATCTCCAGAGAGAGAGGGACAGTCAGAGCTGACATTTGTTAAGGACCTTCTGGTCCTTCATCATCCTTTAGTTTCACAAAGTCATTGAATCTTTACAATCCCCTCAGGAGAAAAGTGTTATTATTGTTTCCATGTTTTGGTTGGGGAAGCTGGGGTAATGTCCATCTGTGCTGGATTAGAATCCTTTCCTTCACCCTACAGCTTTAGCTGCTAGATTTAACTTTTGGCTTTGTTGACTGACATGTTTTTGGAAACTCTTTTCTGTGGTCAAGCATTAGACCGAATGTTTTGGCTCAATGATGCCTTTTACTTTTGGACCATTTTTAGACTATATTCTTGGCTTTATAAACAGCCTTCTCCAGAGTTGTAAGTAAAATGAACCTATTATTTTCTTTTTCCTCCCTTTACTCAGATTCTTGCCTGGCCCCAACTGTTTAAGGGATAAAGTTCCATTAGGAACCAATGATTCTTTTTTTTTTTTTTTAGTGATTTTTAATTGTAAAAATAGTGTACAGAGGGGTTACAGTCACGTGAGTAGGGTAATGAGTCCATTTCCTATTGAGCATTGTTACCTACTCCTTTGTTTTTCCTCTACCATCCCTTTCCTCCCACCTCCCCAACTCCTCCCTCCCTCCTCCAAGTTGCAAAGTTGGTTTTCAATATAGTGTCTTGTACATCTCATTGTTACAATGGGTCAACCTGTATCCTTATTTCAGCATTTTGTTAATTTTTCCTTTCCCTCCCCAAATTAGAAAAATGTATATACAAGATACAGGGCACCAGAATCAAATGCAGTGAAAATGGGTTATACTGTGGGGGGAAGAACATAACAAAAAACAAACAAACAAACAAAATCACATATTACATTTTAAATACGTTAAAAAACAATAGCAAGAAAGAAAAAAACAGCTGTGTTCCAATCTTGGGGTTCATTTCACTTAGCATCATTTTATATGGTCATCTATGCACATAGCTTTTGTCCTCTTCTGCTTGTCCTAGACTTATACTAGTTATTGCAAATAAGGGAAACCATGGGACCTATGTTTCTTTGGGCCTGGCTTACTTCACTTACTATTATTCTTTCCAAGTCTTTCCATTTCCTAACAAATGGGGCAATGTCATTCTTTCTGATGGAGGCATAGATTCCACTGTGAATATATACCACATTTTCTTGATCCATTCATCTACTGAGGGGCATCTGGGTTGGTTCCATATCTTAGCTATAAGAACCAATGATTCTTATTTTGTATGTCAAGTATACTGGCAAGAATGTGATTTCAGCCTTGAGCCAAATGACTTAAGATTGAGAACAGGAGATCTACTACTACGAACCGTCTGCCTGAATGAAAGTACCATGAGAGCAGTTACCATTGCAATTTTATTCTGTGTCCCTACCATCAGCACGGTTGCTTGGCAAATCCTGAGTACTCAATAAACACTTATGACTGGACACGTGGATGAATGACTGAATAGGAGAAAGCAGTGGTATTGGGCAGACTATGGCACAGGGTGTGAGAATAAGACCCTTGGGAAGTTTTGGCTTGTCCTTTATATACTACTGATGCTTGAGTCTGCTGGACAATATCTCAAAGAGCCAAGACAATTCCCATTAGATGAGGAAGTTGAAGCCCTGAATAGCCCTTCCACTCCCATTGCATCTGGTTCAGCAACTAAGAAAGAACTAGTCTGTGGATAGATTCAGCAAAAGAGCAAAAAAAGATAAAGTCAGGGAGACTGGTTCGAATTCCCTAACTTGCCATAACAGAGGTCTGGGGTAGTTGTTTTTGTATATCTTCCCTTTAGCTCATTTCTGGGCAGGGCTGATCATTGCTCATTCAGACTTCAGTACAAGCTTACATTCTACAGGAGTATAGCGCGTCAACTTTAGGCACACTGGTTCTATTGATTTCACAACCAATGCTAGGCACTGCTGAATGGGATACTTGAGCATTTTCCTTAACCAGCCTCTGCTACTTGTTATTCCAAGTCTCTCTGTTACCAGTTCCTGCAGTTTGTGGTCACTCACATTCTTACTTCATGTTTGTATCTTTGGCACCTAGTGCAGGGCATGGCCTAGAAATGATATGCAAGAAGTGCTTTGGGAATGAGTAGACACAGGATGTCACACATGAGTTCAGTTTCACAGGGAAAGCACTCAAGGAGGCGAACACCAATGTTTTTGCATGCAAAATATCTATTAAGCATACACTTTAAATGCATTCCCTAGTTGATATTTCCACATTTACTTCCCATAGCTTTTCGTTTCTTTCATTTTATGACTGTGGACATACTATTTTGTGCTTAAATAAGGCAGATATTTAAGATTTTGACAAGCAATTGGAAATATTTAACTATAAGTTTATTTTTATTATTTTTATGATCTTTAAGTAGTTGTGCAAAGGAGGTGTCATTTAACAAAGTTGTTTGTGAAGACAATGCATCTTTTCTTAAAAACATTTTTTATTGTTATTATAAAGGTGATATACAGAGGGGTTGCATTATATAAGTCAGGTAATGAGTACATTTCTTTTTGAACACTGTGTCCCCTTCCCTCACTTTCTCCCAGTTTTTCTCTCCTGTCTCAATCCACAAGTTCATTTTCAACATAGTGATAAGTGAGTACCACTGTTGCCTTTGTTGACTCTCTGTCCCCCCATTTCTGTGTTTTCCTTCCCCTCTCAAAGACAGATACATGAACAAACAAGACAAAAAAAAAACAAAAACAACATAGAAAAAAAACCCCAAACCTCGTGTTTCTATTTCCTAGATTTATTTTTTGACAGCTACTATTTTATCATCTTGCTATTTTTTTGATACAAGTTTATAAATGAATAGTGATGATTTTTGAGTCCTTATTTACCTCAATAAGTTAAAAAAATCACCTTGGTATAAAACATTGAGCAAACAAGCAAACTAGGTCAACTTGATGCACTCAAAAATAAAAATATTAAAAAAATTTATTCAGCCTTACTTTCTTCACTTAGAATGTTGAAAATTTTAACATTACTTACATTTTTCCCTTAATTCTTCTTGGATCATGAATTTGGATGATCAAATTGAATGCTTGCATGCGAGCTTACTCTTGAATATGAGAAATAATGAGAGGCAGGAATACTAGAGGTGATTGAAATGCCCCTCAAATGTACATACTTAATTGAAATATTTCTTTCAGCGTCTGTCATTAAGCTTTTCATGAGTATCAGCAAAGCAGAATGGACTGACGTGAGCGTTGCCTGACTAATTCCTGCTCATCTTCCCATAAAAGTCTGCCCTACAGAGAAATAACCAAAAGCCAGGCAGCAGGAGCCACCAGGGAAGCAGATTCCAGTTAACTCACAGATTTCCCAGTCAGTTCCTAGAATACTTGGGAGTCAGCTGTAAAAATTCACGTTTCCATTTCAGGCACAAATCATGCTGGGCATCAAACTCTGTATTTGTTTTACCTCTGTTAAAAACCATCCCCAACCTTGAGACTTCTATTACTTTAAAAAGCATCAAATAAACACTAAATCCTTATCCTTTTTGGTCCCAAGTACCTTGCCCTCTCTCCAGAAGACCAAAAATATTAAGAGAAGTTCAGCAAATAACCAGAGCATGTATTTTTATTTCACTGTGACACCTGCAGTGAGTATATTTATCTTTTTTTTCTGGATTTTTTTTTTTTTGCATCTGAAAAAGGAAAGAACTAGTTCTGATTCATTACTTACAAATGCATGGGAGAGTTACTGCTCTATCAGGAAAAAAATTATATAAAATAAGGAGCAGTGGCAGTTGTACTTCCCTCTCTTCTTGCATGGAAGATTTTTGGATTTTGTGGCTGGACTAGGCCTGTTGTGCAGATTGAAGGAGGAAGAGGAAAATGGCAGCATCCGCAATACAGACAGGCTGGATTATTCTACTAGAAAGGATGTGAGTCAATTAGGGATGGACAAGGGATTCAAAGTGCAGCGTGCAAAGCAAGGAGGACGAAGAGGAAAATAATGAGGATTAGGAAAAAATGTGGTAATAGAGGAGGAAGAAAGGAGGAGGAGGAGGGAGAGGGGCAGGGGAAGAGGGAGAGGGGAAGGGGGAGGAGAAGGGAAGTCAGGATAAGTATGCTGAACAGATGGTGAATGGTGAGAAACTGGATGCTCAGATTGGACCCCAGGAGGTCCAGTTCTGCGCAGCTTACAATACTAGGCACAGGGGACTATTCTTATACCAAGTGTAAGGTATATTAAATAGGTAGATTTCATTAGGTAACCGATGAAGAGAACACCACGTAGTATTCAGGGAAAGAAGTTTATTTACTGAACTCCATACATGGTGGAGAAGCATGGCAGAAAGGGGTGACCCACCCTCGTGCCAGGACTTATCTAGGCTAGGGACAGGAAGAGTTGTGGCCACACTGGATCCGGATATGACCTCAGGGCCTGGGACCCTCTTATGGTCAGATGGGAGGCATTACCAGGGGCGGCCCAGGATGTGACCTAGCAGGAGGGGGAGGTGACTGCTTCCAGGTGTGTCCGTTTCCCAGGTAACACAGATACTGGTGGAAACTTAGCCAAGAGGTAGGGAGGAGCCGAGAGTGGGTGGCTCTCGTCTGTAATCCTAGCTACTCAGGAGGCTGAGATCTGAGGATTGTAGTTCCAAGCGAGCCCAAGCAGGAAAGTCCGTGAGACTCTTATCTCCAATTAACCAGAAAGCTAGAAGTGGCGCTGTGCCTCAAGTGATAGAGTGCCAGTCTTGAGTGAAGAGCTGAGGGACAGCACCCAGGCCTAGAGTTCAAGCCCCATGACCACTACCACCACCACCAAGAAACCCCAAAAGGTAAGGAAGTATCTGCACAGGGCCTGCATGGCCCGGGGCAGACCTTACATCAAGTAAATATATGTAAAACCTTTGTTCCTGCTTTTAACTCATAGTTTATGTAGTGCATTTTTTGTACCATCTTTCTTTTTTCTTGAGTATAACAGCAATGATAGACATGTTTGTATACATCTGGTCTTGTTGAGGGTGAAATTTGTATTTTGTAGACTGGAATTCAAGTGGTTCCTGTTAGAAGCTCATCAATAAAATTCCTCCCTTAATATATTATATTATGTATTCATAAAATTTTTTAATAAATTGACAAAGCTTCATTTGGAAAATCAACTATATGATCCATACTTACATAGTTATTATAAAATATTAACACAATTTGGATACATACTACTGTGAATATCTTTCCTTTTTCCTTTTGTTTGTTGAAAACATCCTTTAGTTCTTTCCCACTGGTTTCTAAAATAATTAAAAAGTATGTTTTTAGCTGGGCACTGGTGGCTTACACCTAGAATCCTAGTTACTTAGGAGGTGGAGATCTGAAGATCAGATCTCCAAAGCCAGCTCAGGCAGGGAGGTCCTTGAGATTCTTATCTATAATTAATCGCCAAAAAAACCTGAAAGTGGAGCTGTGGCTTAAATGGTAGTGTCAGCCCTTGAGCAAAATAGCTCAGAGATGGTGGTTATACCCTGACTTCAAGTACCAGGCCTGTTTTAGATTTAAATTCTTTTTTAATTAAAAAAAAATTTTATTGTGAAAATACCGTACAAAGGGGTTACAATTACATAGGCAAGATTACGAGTAAATTTCTTATCAAGCATTGTTGCCTCCTCCTTTGTTTCCCCTTCCCATCCCTTCCCATCTCCTTCTCCTCCTCCCCCCTCCCCAGGGAGGGCAGCCCCTCCCTCAGCGCCCAAGCCCAAGTTGTAAAGTTTGTTCTTCGACATAACGTCATGGGGTCTGGGAAGTTGGCTCAGTGGTAGAGTGCTTTCCTTGCATGCATGAGGCCCTGGGTTCAGTACCTCAGCACAACATAAGCAGAAAAAAAAGCTGGAAGTGGAGCTGTGGCTCAAATGGCAGGGTGCTAGCCTTGAGCTGAGGAGCTGGGGAACACTGCCTGGGCCCAGATTTCAGCCCCCATGACCAACAAAAGCGAAACAAAAACCAAAAAAAAAACCCGTCTTCTTATTTTTTTTTCCTGCCTGACACGTTATTACTTTTTGTATGTTTCTATGCAGTAGTGCCTAGCACAAGGCTCTAGTTCTTGCTTTTAGAAAATTATAGGTATGACGTTTTCACTGGTCAGCTTGGTGAGGGTGATCTCTAGTTAATAATTACCTACTCAGACATTAATTTAGGCCTATCATGACGTTATTACAGAATAAAGTCTTTAATCCATTTACTTTAATTTTTTGTAAAATCTTTTCTGGTTCTTTTGGACTTTTCTACCACCTGAGTAACTAGGCTTACAAGTGTGAGCTACTGGTGTCTGGCTCATCAATTGATTTTAAATGAATAAAAAGATGATCATTTGGGGGCTTGGCTTAATCAGAGTATTTCTTCAAGGAAGCCTTCCGGAGTATCAGAGCTTCCAACAGCTTCTGAGTCTACCATTACTTGTTTCTCCATTCTGTATCTTGGGACCCTATCTTGTTTTCATTTGCTTCTACCTAGTGGCTTTGGACCATTCACTTCACATATACCAGAGGGGTTTTGGTGTGATCATTCATATCCAGCTTTAAGTGAGCAAAAGCTTCAGCCTGAGCCCACAAGTAACAGCTTTCTCATTTCTTGTGTCTTTGAGGGTCATTCTTAGAGATTTCAGAGTTGTTAAATCATATTCAGTTGTGTAAGCCAATTTCTTCTCTCTCTCTCTCTCTCTCACACACACACACACACACCCACACACACATACACACACCCCTTCTATTGCCTGCTGTTTCTACTTCCTTGGTTGAACTTTCACTGACAGAGTGAGTTTCTGATTACTTCTCTTGAATTCCCAAGGACTCTCATTAAGTCTAGTTCTCAGCAAATCTTGACTGAAAGATTCCTGAAATCTTCAAGGTCTGAAAAGGACTCTACCTAAAGTATAATTTTAACACATATATAAGCTTTGAATAAACTAGTGCACCTTGAGAATTTAATCTTTCCTTTTTATTTCAAACATTTTCTCTTTCATGTTTAATTGTTGTTTTCCCTTTTATTTTGATGAGAGAATAGCTAAGAAAGTTTTGAATGTATTTGTCCTAGTTTCCCTCTCATGTGTCAGAATTTAGTGAAAAAAGAAAATTACCATGAACAGAGAAAGGGCTTCTCTGGAATGAACAAACAATGTCGTCCCAGGTGGAGAAAAACCTGCAGTGCTTGAGGGCTGGTCTTATTTGAGGCTGTGGAACCTCTTTATAGGGGGCAGTTGACACTCTCCCCATCTCCTCCCTTGACTTAAGAGGTGACAAGGACTAAGAACAATGAATTCAGGTGGAATGGAAAGTCAGAAATGTAATTTTATATTGGAAGAATAGAGCTATAAGTTGGAACAATAACCTTTCATTGTCTGCTTTCTTTTTTACTGAGCTTTAACTCCCACATGGTATAACCCCTGCTTTCACTATATTTGATGTCAGTATAATTTGTGGAGGGGAAGGGAAAAACAAATCGTTTAAATAGTGATACATGTGGACCCATTGCAACAATGAGATGTACAAGTCGTTATGTCGAACAACGAACTTTACAACTTTGGCAGGGTGGGGGGGGGTCGCGGGGAGGGGCGGAAGGTGGTGGTAGGGGTGGGGGGTTGGGGGGGAGAGATGGGAAGGGATGGGAAGGGGAAACAAAGGAGGAGGCAACAATGCTTGATAAAAAATATACTCATTATCTTGGGGCTGGGAAGGTAGCTCAGTGGTAGAGCGCTTGCCTTGCATGCCTGAGGCCCTGGGTTCAATTCCTCAGCACCACATAAGCAAAAAGAAAAAAGCCGGAAGTGGCCCTGTGGCTCAAGTGGTAGAGCACTAGCCTTGAGCTGAAGGGCTGAGGGACAGTGCTCAGGCCCAGAGTTCAGGCCCCACAACCGGACCAAAAACAAAAATATACTCATTATCTTGCCCATGTAATTGTAACCCTTCTATATAGTATTTTCACAATAAAAAAAAGAATTTTATTGTAAAGATGATATACAGAGGGGTTACAGTTACATAAGTCAGGTAATGAGTACATTTCTTTTTTGTATATAATTTTTATTATAAAAATACTGTACAGAGGGGTTACAATTACATGAGTAAGATATTAAGTACATTTTCTATCAAGCATTGTTACCTCCTTTGTTTTTTCCCCTACCATCCCTTCCCTCCCCACTCCCCCAACTCCTCCCTTCCACTTCCCCCTCCCAAAGTTGTAAAGTTCATTTTCAACATACTGTCTTGTACATCTCATTGTTACAAGGGGTCAACCTGTATCCTTATTTCAGCCTTTTGTTATTTCCCTTCCCCTCCCCAAATTAGAAAAGTGAGTACATTTCTTTTTAAACAGTATTACCCTTGTCTGCTTTCTTCCTCCCTTTCCCCCTTCCCTTTCTTTCATTTCATTCTCTCTTTTCTTCCAAAGAGATAACATAAGAACTTGCAAGTTACTGGTGGCTCATGCCTTGTAATCTTAGCTTCTTAGGAGGCTGAGATCTGAGGATTGAAGTTCAAAGCCAGCTCAAAGAGGAAACTCTGTGCGACTCTTACTTCTAATTAGTCTCCAGAAAGGGGCAGAACATTAACCTTGAGCAAAAACAAAAAGCAAACAAAGGAAAAAACTCAGACAGCATTCTTTTTTTGGGGGGGGGGTCCAGTCGTAGGGCCTGAACTCTGGGACTGGGTGCTTTCCCTCAGCTCTTCAGCTCAAGGCTAGCGCTCTACCACTTAAGCCACAGCACCACTTCTGGCTTTTTTTCTTTTTGCTTATGTGGTGCCGAGGAATCGAACCCAGGGCCTCAGGCATGCAAGGCTTGCTCTACCACTGAACCACCTTCACAGCCCCAATCAGAGACAGCATTCTGACCCAGAGTTCAAGTCCAGGACTAGTACACAGGCAGACACAAAGATAATGTAAGATCATGATAATATAAGAGATAAGATAAATCTGGAGCCACTTCTTATTGTCAGGGACTTGGATGGACTGTAGTCAGGGCCCAGCATGGATTGCCAGGGAGAGTCAAGAAGTAGTCTGATCCTTCTCTGGCCTGGAGCTGTAATATGGGCATTTGTTTCTACTCATTTTTGTTTTGGGAAATGGTTGCTCATAATGCTTCTAACCTGGAACCCTGGGGAAGGACAACAGTTGGGTTCAGACAGGAAAAAAAAAGTTGGCTGTTACCAACTCTTTACTAAAAGAAAAGAGAGAGCCTAAACCCCACAGTTGGCTTGATCCAGTTCACCAGTGTAGGACTGGAGGCTTTCAGATTCAGGTTCTAGCCTAGAGCACATTTTGCTGGATTGTCTCTCCCTGGTCTCTGGGAAAACATGGAGATGACCTGTCCATGGTGCTGAAGGGAGTGAGTGAGCAACTCAGAATCCTATCTGTCTCTTGCTCACATGACTAAAGGAAAGATGTTGAGTTCTGTTTTCTAAAAGTAGAACAATTGGGAAGATTCTTCAAAGATGTCTTCTTTTATTTTGTCCTAATCCTATGGCATTTGCTTTGTAGAAGTACATGAAACAGAGCAATAAGAGGTCTGGAAGATTATCTAGACTTCTTTTGTGGATCTGTTTAGTTTGACTTGTAGTAAAGAATGATTCTCAGAAACATTATGCTGAAGAGATTTCAAGGAGATTAAGGGGATTATTTTAAATAACCTTCCTTCGATATAGCAGAGATTGACAATACTTTTGATTACCGTTAGGAAAACAAAAGGATGTGCTGTTAGGTAGATTGTATGAAATACGTTGAGCGATATGGTTGAAATATTAATCTTTGTTTTACCTCTGGGAACACCAAATGATGGAACAACTGTATCATGTCCCCCCAAATTATGGTTTATCATAAAAGGGTTACATGCACCACTGCCTTATAAGAGAAATTTTATTTGAACTATAAGGAATTTCTAAGCCTCATGAATGATTGGTAGGAGGTGTAGTCTTTTGTAACATAAAATGCTGCTGACTAGAATTACTGTTACCATTAAAAGGAATGTAAAGGAAATAATTTTGTTTCAGCAGTCATACCCCGAGGGCAAATGGGTCATAGAGAGTGATTAAATTGAAAGTGTGAACCCAATAATAATCACTATATATGTATCCCTTGTGTATGACCCCACTTTGTTTTCCTCAGGAGTTTAGCATTCTCAGACATTTACCATTGTATTAAGATATACTGATAGCCATAATAAGGTGATTGACTGCACCATTAGATTTTTCACTATAAAAGTATTCTCAGCATGAAAGACTGCATATTGATATTTCCTTCTAAATTGAAATATTATACAGAGGGCAAAAGGATTAGACAGATATAGCAAGTAATTTGATGGCAAGAAAAATACCGTAGATCAGCAATGATGAGCTTTTTTCATAAAAATACAAGTACAAGGATGAGAAAAACAATGCTCTGCAAATTTATGAAGCATCTATTTGAATCAGAAGAGCTTTTTAAATAGAAAATTATGGAAACATTATGAATGTTTACTTAAAGTAGTTATTATGACCTGATAATCCTGAACAATTGGTGAAAATGAGAATTTATGTGTTAGCACATAAAAAGGAGATTCTACTCCAGGAAATTATATCTCTCTTCAGAGTAATATGACTCTCTCAAGGCTGTTTATTTTTTAATGCATTTTTGACATTTCCTTAGCTTAGGCCGCTATGGCTCTCTGAATTTTTAATGCCTGATACATACCACTATTTACCCCTGCATATTGTGCCTCCCTTGAAGTGAGTTGAGAAGAAATCTGCCCCAACAGATATGGCCGGTAGATTTCTGAGATTTCATGAGGGTTAGTGACACACGATGGCATTATGTGTATTTTGTGGTCTTTCATAGGTGTGGAATGAGGAATAAGAACAAGGAACTAGGCATGAATGGAGATAAGAAATGCAGAGGAGCTTATCTAGAGAGTTAGTTGAGATACAGGGAAAGACAAAAGGCACAAGCTACATTAGAATTAAGCCAAAGGAGGGAAAGGAGAATGAGAACAGATATGAGAGAGGTAGTAGAACGAAAGGCAGGAACTTCCACTATCCCAATAAGGAAGCCATGAGAACACAGGTGTTTGTTCTATGTGTACATTTGCAGCCCTGATCACTTAGTGACTTTGCTGTTTTATTCAAGGTCATATGGTATTAAACTGAGGATATTTATGCTCTAATTTAAAGATGTCTGATAAACATATTTGTGTTGGTATTGGAGCTTGAACTTAGAGCCTTGCACTCTCATTTGTTTTTTTGATTAAGGCAAACTTCCTCTCCTTTGGGGGAGGTCAGTGTTTTTCTTAGAATATTCAATAGGTAAAATGAAGCCCACCCACATTACAGAAAGTTAGCTACTTAGTCTACTAATTTTAATATTATTTGCATCTGTAAATGGTCTTCAAAATAACATCCAGATGTGTTTGAACAAAATTAGTGTATGGTAGCCCAGGCAATTTATTTTATTTAAAGTGAGTGTAAGAAGTGCCATAAGGCTGTGTCACAAGTTCCTGCAGTGGATTGACTGGAAACTAAGGTGAAGGAAAGGATCAGATAGCACAGATTATTCACCATTAATACCCCTTTCTTGACTTCAGTGTGATTAATGTTATATGCTGAGTTACCTAGGCAATTATATCATCTTGTTTATTTGTTTCCAGATCTCTGTTCTAAGCTCTCATCCTTGGTATTTTCCTCTGGGACCACCATCTCTGCTTTCCTGGGTCTGACTTCAGGTGCTTTCCATATCTTGTGTTCTCTCTCTCTCTCCTTGTACTGGGGTTTGAACTCAGGGCCTGGGTGCTATCTCTTAGCTTTCTTGCTCAAGGTTAGTGCTTCACCACTTAAGCCACAACTCAACTTCCTACCTTTTGATGGTTAATTGGAGATAAGAGTCTAACAAACATTCCTGTCTAGGCTCAATTTGAACTGTAATCCCTGAGGATTACAGTTCCAGAGTAGCTGGATTGTTGTGTGTCCTAAAAAGAGGTGGACCCATTGCAACAATGAGATGTGCAAGAAGTCATGTAGAAAAAAGAACTTTACAACTTTGGTGTGGGGGGGGGGGAGAAGATGGGAAGGGGTGGAAAGGGGAAACAAAGGAGGAGGCAACAATGCTTGATAAGCAATGTACTCATTACCTTGCTCATGTAACTGTACAGTATTTTCACACACACACCTTCCTCAGGTTTGTTTTCCTTCTCTTTTGTTCTGTATCTAACCTTTCACAATCTTAAATTTCCTTTTACTAATCCAGCCTAAAAGTTGGGTTTCATCCCCCTTACTTCCAGTATCCTGAAAAATCAAAAAATCATGCTCCTGTTGGCTTTTCAAGATTTCTTCACTCATTCCCTCTTTGCCATTCCCCCGAATACTGTCCTAGTTCAGAATTTGATTATCAACACATTGTGTTTTTTTCACCCTTCTTTTTATTTCCCCTTACCATCCCTTTCTTCCCTGCCTCCCCTCTCCTACCCTCCACTCCCCTGCAAAGTTGTAAAGTTTGTTTTCAACATACTGTCTTGTACATCTTATTGTTACAATGGGTTGTCCTAGATCCTTATTTTAGCATTTTGTTATTTCCCTTCCCCGCCCCAAATTAGAAAAATGTATATAGAAGCTGCAGAGCACCAAATCAAATACAGTGACAACAGGGGTTGCACCATGGGGGAAGAACATACAAAGAAACAAAAAAAATCACATAGTACATTATAAGTACATTAAGAAAAACAGCAACAAAGATAAAACCTCTTGTCTCCTTATTTTGGGGTTCATTTTGCTTAGCATCAGGTAATATGGTCATATGTACATAGCTTTTGACCTCTTCTGCTTGTCCTAGACATATACTAGTTATTGCAGATAAGGGAAACCAAGGG